TTTATGTTCTGCTCACTTTGCCACAATAACATAAAAAAAGAGCATGCGGAAGATGGAAACATTCTAGAAGTGGATGGTGGTGATAACTGTATGACAATGCAAATGTACTTAATGCCACTGAACTGTATACTTAAAAATGGTTTAACTAGCCAATTTTATGCTTTATCTGTTGTACCACAAATACAAACAGACAAAACCAAAACTGATCAGCACCTCTACCCTTCTTGCCTCTCAACTGCTTTGCTCAGGCCAGTGTTGGCTTCACCGAAACATTTGCAGCATCGCTAAGAGGCCAGCTCTGGAAGGAGCTCCAGATCATGAGCTTGGCTCCCACTGGCCACTGTCTCGCTGTGTGACCCCGGTTGGCATGCTGTCCCTCGCTGGACCTCAGTTCTGTGATAGTGATGGGACTAGAGGCACTCCAAGGACCTTTCCAGTTTGTTCAGTCTATATTCTAAGCCATCAAAGGAATACCCACCCCCAAACCAGGAATTCTTACTACCACACCCCTGAGAGGGTAGAAATAAGGCTGCAGGACGCGAGCCCCCAGAACCTGGAGCCTGAGGATAAGCGAGGGTTCTCAGGGGTCTGGAAGGAGAAGCCGGCTGGAGTTGTCATAGAGACATAGGAAAATAATAAACACATCCCTCTGGATGCCCACTGGGTCCCTGAGAGTTTATCAAACATGCCCACATCCATTACCTCTGTGACCCTTTGATTCCACAAACATCCAGGGAGTCCATCCTCTGTGCCCAGCATGGGGCTGACCCAGGGCTGTGACGGCAAACGGGACATGAGCTCTCTGGCTTCCAGGAGAGAGGAAAGGGGCAGCAATGTGACCAGAGCTTGGACTGGGCAGGCGGGGTCAGGTCAGGAGGAGAGACGGCTTGGCCAAAGGCGCCGGAGAGAGAGAGATCTGAAATGTGCTGTCTGAAGGGGGTTGGCAAGGTAGAGGTGGGGCAGGGCCACCCAGGCCACTCTAAGAGGGCATTCTCCATCCTGAGGGTATAGGGAGTCATCAGGGAGGTCACCGACCTGCGGACGAGGGGAACCACCAGATTTGGGTGCACAGCATCACTCGGGGTGGAGAGTAGGTTGGAAGAGGCAGGAGAGGGGCAGGAGGCCCAGGGAAGAGGCCGCAGCAGCTGTCTGGGGGAACCCCTGGTGTCCCCGATGACAGATGTCCCAGTGGATCACGTACGTCCTTTCTCACGGAGGAAGCAGAGGTTCGCGCAGGTCAAGTGACTGCCCGATGCCAACAGCAAGTTAAGGGATCTGGATTTGGGTTCTTAATACTTGTTCAGTCCCCAGCCAGAGCTTTCCTTACCAGCCCGAACTACCTTCCAGGCCCCAGATGATACTAGTGAGTTTAATTTGTAAGTGTACTTGCTGAGAGCTTAATACAAGCCAGTTCTGAGTGCCTAACGTGCGTTCATTCATTTGTCCTCCCAACAATCCTGGGAGGTGAGTACTATTATTATTATTCATATGGGGAAACTGAGGCACAGAAAGATTAAGTAACTTACCTCAGATCACATAACTGGTAAGCAGCAGAGTCAGGACTGGGACAAGGCAGCTTCCACCGCTAAGCCCCCTGAACCCTGTGAGTGGGGAGTGGGGGATGGGAGCTTCCAGAACAGGGGTAGGAGGGCATGAGGGGAATTCTGGGAAGGGAACAGAGGTGTGTGCCGGCCGTCCAGAGCACGGATGCAATCTGCCGGACACAGGGAGCCGCCTGACCAGGAGTCCTGAGACCTGAGGTTTAGGCTCAGCTCTGCCCTGAACCTGCTGTGTGACCTCAGGCTACTCATACCCTTCTCTGGGCCTTGGGTTTTGTCACCTGAAGCATGGATCAAGATCTCCAGGCTCACCCCTCTGTTTCTCTCACTCCTAGATCAACCCCTCTACCCCCACACCCACCCCCCCAGGCACTAAAGCAAGGGAGGGACTGGAGATGGGGGTGGGCTGTGGAACGGAGAGAGGGGGCAGTGGAGGGACTCCCTTCTCTAAAAGCCTAGCGGGAGCAGGAAATCCCACCGTCCCCCTTCCAGGCCTGAGCTCGGGTTTGGAGGCAGTGAGCTGCACCCACCCCGGTTCCCAGGGCCTGCAGGGACCAGGCTCCCACCACACTCTCCGGAGACCGGGCCTTGTTTAGAAAGTGTCTCCTTTGGAGCCTGAGTCACCGGATCCCTGGGTGGTCTGGGGGAAACCGCAGAGTTACTGCGAGTACCTAACCGTGACTGGGAGGGGAGGGGGAGGGGGGCCTGCCCCTCTGTGACCTCGGCCCCTCAGCCTCTTGTGTCTGGGACTCGGTTTTCCCACGTAAACTGAGGGGCTGGGAGTCTCAGACCCGCCACCTCTCCATGACACTCATGGCCACCCAAGGACTGAAGGGGGTTGGCCAGGTAGAGGCAGGGCAGGGCCACCCAGGCCACTCTAAGAGGGCATTCTCCATCCCGAGGGTACAGGGAGTCATCAGGGAGGTCACCGACCTGCGGAGGAGGGGCACCACCAGATTTGGGTGCACTGCATCACTCGGGGTGGAGAGTAGGTTGGAAGAGGCAGGAGAGGGGCAGGAGGCCCAGGGAAGAGGCTGCAGGATGGGGCAGGCCTGGGAGCAAAAGAGCTGTGAGGTCGATGGCCCGGGGCCCCGGAACCCAGCGCTCCATGCTGGCCACTCTGCCTGAGGGACAGGCCTGCTCCCGCACAGCCCGTGACAAGCAGCACCCAGGAGGAGCCCGAGCTGGCCTCTGACACAGAGGGCTTATTCCTTCCCAGGGAGCGCGGGCGAATGACAGCGTTCGTGTGAGCATCGGTTTCTCCATCTGTGTGGGGACATGATGGAGACCACGCTCGCCAAGGCGCCGCTGGAGACCAGGGATACGAACAGTTCTTAGCGTGTGGAAAGGGCTCACCAGCAGGGCCTGTTACCAGTCATTGCCTTGACGAGAAACCCAGTGACTCCTCGCCCACCCTCACGTGGAACAGCTCAGCTTGGCTCAGGGCTCGAGAGGAGGACCAAGGCCTGGACCGACGGGACAGCAGAGCACGGGTTGGGCCCCCGGAGGCTCAGGCCTGAGGGTGGCGGTGGAGAGTGAAAGGGCCTGGCAGGGGAACCAGGAGAAAGTTTTCCTTGAAGGACAGCATGGCCCGTGGGGCTTCATTCTAGAATCATTGTCATCTGGCTGAGTGGGCACCCTGAGAATCTGGAATAGGGCAAAAGGACGTCGGTATCTGGTCTGCATAGAGCAGACCCTGTGGTGGGAAGTAGGCAATCTGGGTCATATCCAAACATCCACGATTATGGGATTGAGGTGAGCACTTCCCTGCTCTGGGCCTCAGTTTCCTCATCTATGAAATGGGTGGGAGTGTCAATCCCTGTCCCTCTTGCTCCCTGATAAAGGGGGATTGTGATCATTACTTCCACATCTAGGCATCATGGGGTGACCAGCTGCTTCCTCGGAGAGCAAAGAGTCCCTCTCTAGAGACTGGTGTTGGTGAGCCCTATGCGCTGGAGGGCCCCGGTGCGTGCAGGTAGGTCTCAGCTCACTCATTCCTGCCTGCAGCCTAGCCTTCCTGCTGGGAAGCCCCTACAAAGTGCTTTCTAAAGGCCTGCACAGGGACACCTGGGTGGCTCAGTCGGTTAAGCGCCTGCCTTCCGCTCAGGTCATGATCCCGGGGTCCTGGAATCGAGTCCCACGTTAGGCTCCCTGCTCAGCAGGGAACATGCTTCTCCCTCTGCCTGCCAGTCTCCCCGCTTGTGCTCTCTTTTTCTGACAAATAAATCAAATCTTAAAAAAAAAAAAACAAGGCCCGCACAGACCCTGGCCCACTCAGAAGCCAGGGTCCCACCCCCCACCACCTGTCACCCCAGCTCCGAGTCCTTAATATCTGAAGGCCCGCCTCCCTTTCCAGTCCCAGCCCTGTATTCCCAACAGCTGATATACACGGATGATGGACCAGGAATTGTGTGATGTCCTTATTTCTCCCAATTCGAACCCACTTCTCAGGCAGGAGCAGTGTTAGCCCCATCTTACCCACCTTATGGTAATACTGAGGCCCGATGAGAAGTCTCCAGAGTCACTCTAGGGGCAGACACCAGATTTGAACTCAGGCAACCTGGCTCCAGAGCATGAGTGTCTGAAGACTACCTTCTCCTGCCTCCTAGGTGTTGCATGCAACGGATGCCTCCTGGTCTCTTCCAGGCCCACGGCGTCACCCCTTTGCTCCTGTCCCCTCTGCCACCCTTAGCCTGTCACTTGCTCGTGAGGACCAGAGCCGTAACACCCCCACAGAACCGGCTCCTTGTTCCGTCTTGCACTCCGCTAACTGCCTGAGCCCGAAGTGCCCCCCACACTGACCCCACACCAAGAATACCCCAGTAAGGCAGGCACCCCCGATGGGGACAGGGCCTCAGTGTGGGGCGCCCTGCTGTGTCCGGGGGTTGGCACTGTCAGAAGCACCGGTATGCCTCGGTAAGGGGACAGGATTAGCAGGGGTGGGGACAAGGGTCCATCGGTAAATAACTTTGGGAAGCAAAGTAAAACGGTGCACTCCTCAGAGGATGTGGTGGCCACGATCCCCGCCTCCTGTCATTCACATTCTCCTGTAGCCCCTCCCTCATCATCAGCAAGAACCGTTCAGTGATCCATAGAATATGGCAAAGAGATGCATGTCACTTTCGAGCTAAGGTGATAAAGGATGGCAGCTTCACTCCTGGTCTCTCTCATTCGGATCCTTTGCTCTGGGGGAAGCCATGTCATGAGTAGCCCGGTGGAGAGGCCTGTGGGGTGAGGGACTGAGGCCGCCAGCCAACAGCCACGTGAGTGAGCTTGGACGCGGGTTGTCCGGCTCCTGACAAGCCTCAGATGACTGCAGCCCTGGCCGACAGCTTGACTACAACCTCACGAGACCCTGAACCAGAACCACCCAGCTGAGCGGCTCCTGCATTCTTGAACACAAGAAACTGGGAGAGATAAGAAATGTTAGTTTCAAGCTGCTACGTTTTAGGATAATTTATTACGCAGCGATAGATAATACACATGACTTCTCCGAGCACTTAATATGCTAATGTAAATCTCCAAGAAAGAAGATATACAATGTAACATTCCCCTTAGTTATCTGGCCAAGGAAGCCTTCTTTTTTTTTTTTTTTTTTGAGTTTTCTCAAGAGAGAAAACTGATTTAATATGGCTCTGGTCCTACAATTAAATGTGACTTCTAACCCTGATCTGTTATCAGCTAGTCATTTGCTCTTCCAGAATCTCAACTTTTCCCTTTTATAGAGTAGAAAGAAACGACCTGCCTTTGCATAAATCATAAATACAACCCCAGATGGCCTAGTTCTGAGCTCTTGGGTGAGGGGTGCGAGAGTGGGTTGACTAGGTCTTAAAAGGAGCTTCACCCTGGGGCTTAGGTGGGTTTTCGAAGGTGGCAGGTGGGCCCGAGGCCCAATGTATCTTTCTTCCTCAGGCCATTTCCCCAGAGTGATGAGAATTAGTGTCTTCTTGTAGCTCGTGCACAGTTCAGAGATGGGAGGCATGGACCTGAGCCTCCCCCATCAGACCTGGAAAGCTCCCTGCCCCCACCCCGACACACACCCCCAACCTGTGGACACAGTGCAGCCATGGGCAGGAGGGAACATGAGAACCTTCTCTGGCCTCAACAGTAAACATATGCCCTTCCTCCGTTCTCAATTTATCCCCTCTACTCTTTCCCTGGTAAAAGACTGAAATCAAGTTTCAGGATGCTGGCTGGGTCAGAGACCCACGGAAGCCCTGCATGTCCCTCTTTGTTAAAAAGAAGACATTAAAAAAAAAAAAAAAAAAACCATAATGCGAATACTTTATTATCAATGAGTGACTGGTATTAGCTTTTTGTCTGGGCATTAATATTTCCAAAACCATACACCAAACCCAGGCTTTTCCACCTAGCTCTGCTGTATCATTTTCTTTAAAAAACAAAAAAAAACAAGACAAAACAAAAACAAATAATAATAATGAAGAGGAGGAAGGAGGAAAAGAAAGAAAATATATTTGTATTGAAAGAATTATAAGCCAAAGTGCGTCTTTCTTGTTTTGTCCATATACACACATTGCACCATACATAAATAATTACATTGTAAAAATGACTCCATAATTACAAGTATAATATATATTTCCATATAATATATAAAACTTTATATTAAATCTAGGTAGATGATATTTGGGGGGTGTCGTCCGTGGGGGGCTGCGTCTCTGGGCGCTGGGGCAGGTCGCGGCGGGCCGCTATCTGTGGGTGTTGAGGAGGACCTCGAGCCAGCAGGGGCAGGAGGTGATGAACTGCCGTGAGTAGCAGGGCCCCCAGCCCTTGGCGAAGCTGATGCGGACGCTGTTGGGGTCGTAGGGGCCGTCGGCGGCGTCGGGCTCGGGCCCGTGCTGGAGCAGGCCCGAGCGCTCGAAGTCGAACACCTTGATGGAGTAGCCGGGCGGCACCTTGCGCACGACGAGGGCGCGGCCGCCGGGCGCGTCCAGCGTGGGCGAGTTGACGAAGATGGGGTGCTCGCCGCGGTTGTAGGCCCACACGCCGTCGGGCTCCTTGCTGAGCACGATGCCGAAGCCGATCTTGCTCCGCGTGCGCCGCACCGACTCGCTGCGCTGCTCCAGGTTGAGCTGGCCCAGGCAGAAGCCGCTGCCCTGAGGTAGGTCGTAGAAGATGCTCACGGCCTGGTCGTACACCGCGTAGAGGCGGCCCACACGTGTCCGGTGCTCCCAGTAGGCCACGCTACACCAGTGGCTCGGCTTGGTGGCATCCGGAGACATGCTGGCGTCTGCGGGGCAAGCACAGGGCACGGGGGGCGGTTAATGGGGGGGCAGGTGGGGGGCAGAGGGGAGCAGAGGTGGCGCCGCTCGCTGGAGGGGGCGGGTCGGTGGGGTTTGCGGCGTTCAGCAGACCTGCGGGCACCGACGCCTGCCGGGTTGTCCTCAGGAACTGTAGCTCGCGGGAGAACTGCCCCCGACGCACACGCAAAGGGGAGCCCACAGAGAAGGCAAGTCGCCCACTGCGTGCTCCGGGCTCTGGGTACACAGACATGAACCGCACCCGGCTCCTGCCCGTGGAATTTTCCAAGCTCAAGCTAGCAGGAGAGAGGGACACCCCCCCCCCCGCCCCGCCCCACAACACACACACACACCCAAAGGAGGGGCTGAACACCGAGCACCTACAATGTTCCAGGTGCTGCACACTGCCCTTCTGACTCACTGGGTCCTCCCCTCACTCCCTGACCAGGCCACCTTCTCCTCATTTTACAGCTGAGGATCCAAGACTTGGCGGACACCAGCAGCCTGCCAGAGGCCACACAGCTAGTGCGCAGCCCGGCCTGGGTCTGAGCCCCGCCAGTCCAAGCCTCCACCTGAACAGAGTGGGGTTAAGCTATTAGGGGGCGTAAATCACCACTCAAAGGGGACCCAGGCACAGGAAGACACGGGGGGGGGGGGGTTGGCCCCCAGAAACCCTTCCAGCCCAGAATGCTCCCAGCCTTGGCCTTGAGCATGATGCCTAGTTTCCCAGTAACCCCCACCCTCCACCCCTCAAGGTGGCTCTCTTGGCATTAAGTGCAGATTTTCACCCGAACTGCAGCCCCTTCTGTGAGACAGGGAAGCTGAGGGTCTCCGAATGTTAAAGCAAATTGCCCCGCAAGGGCTCCAGGGATCGCCAGCTCTCCAAGGTGGGTGCGGCTCCTCTCTGAGCCTCAGTTTCCCCATGGACAGCAAAGGGGTGGCCTGGATGACTGGAATTCCCTTCCCCTCCAGCTTGAGGCATGTGTGCATGTCCACAGGTCTGGATGAACAATTTTCTGACACCAGACCGAAGGCCACACAGAGGCCTGGGCAGCCCCATCTTTGCCGCTCCCGTGTGTGGCCAGCTTCTCAGATTCTGAAACCTGGTCTTGCAGAATCTGGTCTTTCCTTTGAGCGCAGAGTTCTGGGAAGCAGGTGGGCATCCGTGACTGCCCCGTGGGGGCACATGTTCCCACACAGCCCTTGGATGGGGCTCATGCACAGAGGGAGCGGTTCTCCCGAGAATGGGATGGGAACACAGTGAGGCATTTCACGGTGTGGCTTCTCCTAGGGAAACTGATCAAAGTCCAACCAAACCCGAGGAAGAAAAAACACTGCTAACAACTTCATTCAGGAGCCTGGGCGAGGTCAGCTGTCTGCCTTCAGCCCAGCCCCGCCTAGAAGCCCCAGAGCGGCAGGGTGACGGGGCCCCTCCGATCCTCCCATGCGCTGGCAGGCCCACCCAGCCACCTAGCAGGAAAGTGTCTTCCCGAAGGGCGTCCTGTAGGCTGCCAACTCCGCTGAGGCCTTGGACTGGGCAGAGCCCCAAAGGGCGTGCCCCTCACCCTCTGCCTGGTGTTGAGGTCCCAGACACAGGTCCCCAGGTCACTCCTGATAATGTATTAATTTGCCTCCAAGTCCCCTCCAGGCCCCTCCTGGTTCTGGCCAGTGTGCAGTGGGGGGGGGGGGGGGGGGGGAGCGGAGAAAAGACACTGGTCCTTGCCCTCAGCTGACTCGCCCCTTGGCCAGCAGGCAGAGAAACAGCTCTAGCTTGGGTGGGCGACCAAGCTGCAGGCAACTAGGCGGGTCCCAGCAGGTGGGCAGCCAAGAACACTGCAAGCTATGGCCCCTCTCTCCATCCATCCATCCATCCATCCATCCACCCATCCGGTACAGGTCTGGGAGTTTCTAAGAGGTAGGAAAGCAGCACGATCCTGGCCCGGCCGTGAAACTCCAGCGCCGGTCTTCTCCTGAGCAGTGAGAGTCCCTTTAGTGTACCAGAAACAGAGAGGGAGGGAAGCAAACACCTGTGCCTGCAGAATGCTGGGTGACAGGAGAGGACACGCATCACTGAGAGCCTTGCATCAGCCAGGCACCTTCTTCCCAACAGACTTGGTTCACCTCTATTACCAGCCCGTTCCACAGGTGAGGAAACTGAGGCCCAGGGAGGTGCCATGAGCTGGTCGAGGGTACACATGAGAGATTGCCAGGGCCAGCCTCAGTGCCAGGCCCACACTCCGGGCGGGGGGGGAGGCCGTCTCCACACTCCGGGTAGACTCCCCGCTGAAGCCCCTGCACTGAACAAGTCCCCTCCCTTCTCTAAGCCTCAGGGTTCCTGTGTGTGACCAGACTGCTCTCACGGTCTGAATCCTAGAGGTGCTCACCCACAAGCCGGTGAGTCACTCCGCCCCCCCACCCCGTGAAAGGCCTTCGCTCCCCGAGGGCGCACCGCAGCTTCACTGAGTGAGGCTTACTGCTATCCCCCCTCTACAGATAAGGCTCAGAGGGCCACTCAGTCATAAAGTGGCAGCTCTGCCCCAGGGTGGAGCCACTCCATCATAAAAGGTGAAGAAGCACTTTGGCAGTCAGAAAAGGGGGGTGGGGAGGAGGGGGAGGAGGGAGGTTGAGAGTAATGGAATTGAGGGCGGGTGGGGGGGATACTTCCTGTCCCCCTCCTCTTAGCACCTTCCACCCCGGCCAAGCCAAATGCCCCTCATCATCTACCCCCACCTCATCAATACCCATGTTCCAGCCTTGCTCTAGCACTCCTCATGGGGATCGGCTCCTGTGCTTGGGAAATGAACCCCACAGAGCTGCCTGGGCCCAGCCTCACCTCCTGCACCCTCTCTGGTTAAGCAAACTGGGTAACACTTCATCACACCTGGGCTCCTGGCCAAGTCTTTCAAATTCCAGAAGATGGATGCTGCCTCTGAGAAGCCCTCTCTGGTTTCTCCCTCCCACGCCCCTGCGGCCCTCAATGCAGTCACTCCCTAGGCCTGAGCAGGTGTCTGTGCTGTTGGTCAGTGCCCCTGGCCGGTCTAAACTTTCCAGTAGGAAGGGGTGGGCCTCCATCCTCTCTACCTCTGTCCCAAGACTGCATGTATCCCTAGGGTGCTCGAAGAACATGCTAAAAGGGAAGGAGGAAGGAACTAAAATTCATCCTAAGGGTAAGCCCACTGCCCTGACCCCCAGCTCCCATTGGATCCTGCCCAACAGGTGGGGCCGGTGGTCTCAGGCCCCAAGGGATGGTGGGCAAGGACTGAGGTCTGAGGTCTCCCAAGAGCGAGCCAGCAAGTGAGCACATCACCATGCTCGGGGCTCCCTGTCCCCACCCAGCTCTTGGGTTCTTAGGGCTCCAGAGCTTGAGGGACCCACTGACATCATCTTGTCCAGGGAGCCCCAACACTTTGGGTTTTCACAAACCAATACATTGTTTAACAGAGGGACTGTGAATATACAGGGTTACTACTGTTTTATTTTGTCATGTACAGACTTATTAAAAACCCCAAGACCATCGACTACCACTAGCACAAAAGAAAGTATAATTTGATAATAATGAAATAGTTAGAACCTAAATCAGGAATGTAAAAGTTAACACAATTAGATTATAAGAAATTTTCTTATCTCTTTCATTGTGGACCAGTGAAAACATAGAACAGAGACTGGCCTGTGAGAACCACTAATTGAATCCAATGTCCTTGTGCCCCAAGGATGGCACCCCAGGGGTCCAGGGGGACTCACCAAAGCACACACAGCAACAGATAGCAGAACTGGGACCAGAACTTGGGACCCTAGAACTCTAATCCAGTGCTTGTCACATGAGCCAAAGGGTTTCAGAGTAAGACGGACCTAAGGCTCTCACCACTGACTGGATGTGTGGCCATGGACCAGCCCCTGAGTGTCCCTAAGTCTCAGTCTCCCCACTTGTAAAATGGACTTATTCATAATCCAGCGTCTCATTTATATGGTCCATCTTTGGATTTTCTGGAAACTCCAGCAGCAGATCAGTTGGGTGCAGAAAGAAGTAGCTGTCTGTTTACCGGCCCCAGGGCTGGCCCTAACCCTTCAAAGGCCAGGCAGGGCTCCTTAGGGGTGTTGGGGGTCATGACCCAGGGTCACCACCATGGGAGGGTACAACAGGATAGTGGATGGCAGCGTCCCTCACTGTACTGATGGGAAGGTTTAGCTTCTAGCCTGGAACCCGAGGTTAAAGAGAGGTGCTCACCAGCACAGGAATGAGGAATGGAGCAAGAATAGCTGAATGTCTAGAACAAAGTCAAGGGCCACTGTGGCTTGGTTTACACACACACACACACACCCGTGTGGATTCGGGTCTCAGGCAGTGTGGCCGATACAAGCTGACCTGCTTGCTCCCTGCAAATGAGAAGGCCGGCCCCCCAAACCTCTGCCCTCCCCCATGGTGGCGGAGCCCCACTCCACCACCGTGCTCCTTGTCCTCAGCCTGGCTGCCGCTCAGGGTGCGAGGGGACAGTCTTTTGCAGAAGATCTTTTTCTCCTCGTGTCTCCAAGGCTGTGGTCCCGCCATCAACCTAATTAGGAACCAGCTCCTTAATTGCAAATAAATACCAGGGAGTCAGACCCGAGTGCACAACATCAAAGATGACCGCGCTCTGACCGAAACTCTTGCTCACTACCCCCTGCTCGGGGCCTGGCCTAGTTCCCAGCCAGACTCTGGGTCCTGGCTCGGAGGGCTCTGGGGTGGGGGGGGTGGTAGGAGAGGAGAGGTGCGGTCTGGCGCTGTGTCTGGGGCAGAGTGGCCCCAGGCTCGGGGGGGGGGGGGTCAGGAGTCCTGCAGTCAGGGGTCCTGCCTCTGGGCCTGCACTGGGCAGTTCATCTTCCTTCTCCGGGCCTCAGGCTTCCCATGTGAATCATGAGCTCAAGATCTCTGTGATTTAGTGAATGTTCACAACAGCTCCACCTGCAGTCACCAAACCAGGCAGATGGCTCAGGTGTCCATCAACGGGAGGAT